TCCCCAATCACCTTGCATGGTCGATGGAAAGTGCTCTAAACGATATCCACGGAAATTAACGGCGGAGACTGTCACTGGCAATGATGGTTATCCGCTGTATCGGCGTCGATCACCAGATGACAACGGTCGAACTGTCACAACGAAAGTGAAAAGAATGGATTTCGTTGTCGACAACAGTTGGATTGTTCCATATTCGCCACTTATTTCTAAATCGTTCAAGACACATTGCAACGTTGAATACTGCAATTCAGTTAAGTCCATAAAATATATTTGCAAATATGTCACGAAAGGCAGTGATATGGCGGTTTTTGGATTGCAATCCTCGAATACCAACGATGAAATTTCACGCTATCAAGTTGGTCGTTATGTGAACTGTAATGAAGCGATTTGGCGTATATTCGCATTTCCCATTCACGAACGTCATCCTACTGTTACGCATTTGGCGGTGCATCTGGAGAATGGTCAACGAGTATATTTCACGGCTTCGAATGCTACGCAACGTGCTGAAACACCTCCAGCAACTACATTGACCAGTTTTTTTGCAATCTGCCAAAGCGATCAGTTTGCACGAACTTTGCTTTACTCGGAGATGCCACGTTATTATACTTGGAATGCTTCATCGAAGAATTTTCAAAGACGGAAGCAAGGCGATGCGGTTCCTGGGTATCCAGATGTGCGTTCTACTGATGCTCTTGGTCGTATGTATACAGTTCATCCAAAGAATAATGAATGTTTCTATTTGCGGTTGTTGCTGGTAAATGTGCGTGGGCCAACGTCATTTGAGTCACTACGAACTGTTAATGGTGTAATATTCCCAACATATCGTGCTGCATGTGAAGAATTGAAGTTATTAGAAAACGATAGTCATTGGGATACGACAATCGCTGAAGCCATTATCTCTGCATCTCCAAGTCAGATACGCACATTATTCGCTATCATAATTTCGACATGTTTTCCATCAAACCCATGTAACCTGTGGCACAAATACAAGGATAATATGTCAGAAGATATTTTACATCAAATTCGTGTCAGTTCCAGAAATCACGATATTGAGATGAATGAGGAGATACATAATCGTGCTTTACTATTGATCGAAGATATGTGTTACCTCATGTGCGGTAATTTATTAATCAGGTTAGGAATGCCAGCACCATATCGTGAAATGAATGACGCATTTAATCGAGAATTGGAACGGGAACGTGAATATGATCACCAGGAATTAGATTTAGTAGTTCAAACGAATGTACCCCTGTTGAATTACCAACAAAAGGAAGTTTATGATACTTTAATGAAGGCAATCGATAATGAATATGGTGGTTTATATTTCCTAGATGCCCCTGGTGGAACTGGCAAGACATTCCTCATGTCATTAGTTTTAGCAACTGTTCGGGCGAGATCTAACATAGCGGTTGCAGTTGCTTCTTCTGGAATAGCAGCCACATTGTTAGAAGGATGCCGTACGGCTCATTCAGCATTCAAATTACCGTTAAATCTTCAAACTATTGAAGAACCAACGTGTAATATTGCAAAACACTCAGCAATGGCCAAAGTTTTAGCGGTATCGAAAATCATCATCTGGGACGAATGCACAATGGCGCATAAACGTGCATTAGAAGCACTTAACCGAACATTAAAAGATTTACGCAATGACTCGAGATGTTTTGGAGGAGCAATGATTTTACTTTCTGGCGATTTCCGCCAAATACTGCCAGTAATTCCAAGATCTACGGCTGCCGACGAAATAAACGCTTGCCTCAAATCGTCAAATCTATGGCGCCATGTGAAGAAACTGCAACTGACAACAAACATGAGAGTTACATTGCTTAATGATACATCTGCTGAAGATTTCTCGGAGCAATTGCTGACTATCGGTAATGGTCAAGTACCTGTCGATGAATCGAGCGGATTAATATCATTTCCAAATAATTTCTGTAATTTTGTCTCATCAAAAGACGAACTTATCAACAATGTATTTCCAGAAATTATTTCTAACTACAAAAATTATGAATGGATAAGTGAGCGAGCAATTTTAGCGGCTAAGAATAAAGATGTAGATGACCTAAACTACATAATTCAAAATAAGATCATTGGAACAATGCATTCATTCAAATCTATTGACTGCGTCACAAATGAAGATGAAGCCACCAACTATCCAATTGAATTTTTAAACTCTTTGGACGTGCCTGGCTTACCACCGCACAATTTACGCCTAAAGGTTGGCTCCGTAGTAATCATGCTTCGAAACATAAACCAACCAAAACTGTGCAACGGTACGCGTTTGGTGGTTAGAAAATTGATGAACAATGTAATTTACGCTACGATAATGATAGGAAAATTCAAAGGTGAGGAAGTTCTCATTCCGAGGATACCGATGATCCCAACCGATATGCCGTTTGAATTTAAAAGACTTCAATTTCCGATACGTCTTGCATTTGCCATGACCATCAACAAATCACAAGGCCAATCCTTAAAAGTTTGTGGTTTAAATCTAGAACATTCATGTTTTTCCCATGGTCAATTATACGTGGCATGTTCACGGGTCGGAAGACCATCTGCGTTGTTTGTTTTTGCGCCTGATAATAAAACAAAAAATGTCGTGTATCACAAGGTACTTAAATGAAGAGCAACCTATGTACTAAAATACAGAAATAATTATGAATGATTGATGTAGAAATTTAATTTTTTTTGTATTTTTTCCAATAAAAAAAAAATCTGCTTATTTATTGACATTAAGGCGGAACAAAGTTCGCCGGGTCAGCTAGTATATATATATATATACATATAATAACAGGACTACATCCCTGTTATCATTGGTATATTCAGATTTAATAATGCAGTCGAAAGCCATAATACGTTATAAAAGGATTTATTTAGAGATATACTGGTGGTTATAACAGTTCACATCCCCTCTCCGCAGAGGAGGGGGTGTGGACGAAACTACGGATGGTTCCGGCAGATGTTTATTGGAACACGTCATTCAGCAAGAGACATGCGAAAAATTTCGGTCCAGCATTAAATACTACAGATTTTGGTGTAATTAGGTTCCAGTCGTCATACCTTTGTAACTCTACGCATTATGGAAAATCATTTAATGCTTCCTAATATGGAAGTGAAAGAGGAACAAGATTCTAAAAATAACTCCTCCTTTGAAATATCCTCCTTTGAAGTCTAATTATTATTCAATGGTATGTTTTCAGCCTTGAATTTCCGAAAAAGAATATCTCTGCGCTTACTCTTTAATAAAGACATTTTATGAAACCGAAAAAATTTTAATTCTTTTATTAATACAAAAGTATTTATTATTTTTGTATTACATCCCCCCCCCAAAAAAAAATTTTTGTTTAGGCAAAATAAAAAAAATTGGAAAACTTTAAATTTATAAAATTCAGGTTGGAACGACTGTTCCTTTTCCCTACTACAAATAATATTTTTTCAATTGTATGTGAAACAAATAGAACATTTACGCTAATAAAAATATAAAAAACATGATAATGAAATTTATCTGTTTAGTCAACTAAACAGAAAGAAAAATGAAAAATGTTCATGTAACTTTTCTACTAAGATTTTCAAAAATTTTTCACATAAAAATATACAAAATTTTTATGCAAATGAACTGGACAACAAGTGTTATTTAATTAGAATTTAAGATTCTGTGTGGTTAAAAATATTTCCTAAGCTTTGATAAATGCACTTTTTCAAAATTTTGTTTACTTAATTATTCTTTATTTATTTTGTAATCAGTTTTTCGGCCATACTTTCTTTTTCCTATTTTTCTTTTTGTTTTTTTTTACCCTTTACATATTTTTTCGTCGATATTAACCTGATAATGAGCGCATCCATTACCTAGATCATCTTCGAATCATTTGAACGTTTTGGACATTCGTTCTTTTTATTTTTTCAATGTTTACTTTTACTGAAACATCTTAAACTTTAATTTTTTCGATGTTTACTTTTACTGAAACATCTTTTTTATCATTTTTATTTTTTCGATGTTTACTTTTACTGAAACATCTTTTTTAACCTTAACATTTTGAGAATTCTACTGTCTAATGTGCAGAGATAAGTTGTCACTTTTAGAATTAGCAGAGATGATCAGTCTCTTACCAAATTGAGTGGCCCGACACAATCAAAAAACAAACAAGATCTTTGCAAGTCTGCAACCCTACTAATGCATTATGGAAAATCATTTACTGCTTCCTAATATGGAAGTGAAAGAGGGGCAAGATTATAAGTGAATAACTCTTCCTTTGAAATAAAAATCTAATTATTATTCAATGGTATGTTTTCAGCTTTGAATTTCCAAAATAAAATATCTCAACGCTTACTCTTTAACAAAGACATTTTATGAAACCGAAAGAGTTTTAATTCTTTTATTAANATATATATATATATATATGATAAAAAAACTATCCTTTTATTATGAATCTTTCTTAGTTTAAAGCTGGAAGTCTCCTGCTTTCCTTGCTTCTAAGGTTTTGAAAATTCTCACTAAAAAAATTTACTGGTTAAACTAACCACCACTTTTAAGTCAAATTAATGGCCATTTAACTATTGAAATTAATTATATTAAATTAATTACATTAAATTAATAAAAAATAAACAAATTAGTAATCATCCCGATAACTCGGTTTGGGTGATATATAAAAGTCAAGCGAGAAAGCAATGTTCTCATGCAGTGCTGCTGTAGAATTGAATTAAAACAGAATGTATAAATACAAACCTTTCTATCTTTAAAAGTGCCATTTTCACAATAACGCTGAGGTAAACATTCACAGACTTTTTCAGGAAGTTCTGGTTCTTTAGATAATGGAAAACACCAATCAGGTTTTAACTCTCCACATATCTTCGTTATATTTGATCTGCAAAATTGAATGTTTTGAAGAGTTTCTTAATTTTACTCTAATTCATTTGAAAATGAAGATATAGGAAACAAATATCGTAGATTAGTGAGAAAAAGTTCTTAGTTCTAATTCAAACTCCAATTTATTGAATAAATTAGCTTTAAAGATTAGAAGGCTCTCTTCTTTATTACTGCTCAGAAATTCTGCGTATTATATTAGTTGAGATATAACAAACAAATAATATTGTCTTATTGGATATGTCTTATTAATTGCCTGGATTGTCTTATTAAGATATTTAGATAGTTATATCGAAAATGTTAAAAATTTCGCTCTGAAAGAAATTCAATTCAAAACGCGCTCCACGACTATCACTAAATCATACAATATGCAATAAACAAAATGTATTGTATGGTACGATATTCGATATTCAGGGTTGAACAAAGAGAATAATTAACACATCTGCACTAACTCATTATTTCATATTTCTCAAGAAATACTTACAAGATTATTTTCAAAAATTTTACGAGTGTATCACTCATGCAATTTCTCACACATGTCAATAAAGTTTAAAGCTTTTAGAGGCTTGAGATACCAGCAATAAATTACGAACAGAAGAAAAAGAATGCTTTTGAACATCCTATGCCAAAAAATACAGCGATAATCTTGCAATTCATGTCAATTACGTCATATGAAACAACTGCAGAAAATATCGTTAACCTAGCTTAAACATTCATGGAAAAATGGACATTTTATAAAAGTTCAATTTCTTGACTAACGTTGTTATAATGACTTGTTATAATGACAGAAATATTCTACAAAATTAAAAAAAAAATTTAAAGCTATTTTTAATTAATAATAAAAATATAATTTTAAGATTTAAAAAATCTTTTGAAATTGCGTAAGTAATGAGTGTTTAAAGTAATATTTTCATACTGTGCATACGCCAAAAACATTTAAAGAATTTTTTTCTCACAATTTTGCTCACTCGCAATTTTGTTTTTATTCACACTTATAAAAAAATTTTTTTTGAATATCTTGAAAATTTAAAAAGTTTCTATGATTTTCTAACCCCCCGTATATCAAATTTCATGTTAAGAAGTAATATGAAGTTAGAATTGATCTTTGGTAAAAAAGGTGAGAATTCCGCTCAATAAAAATTCCACTCAAAACACATTCAAAGACTATCACAAAATCATGCAATGTGCAAAAAGCAAAATATATTGCACAACGCATCATGCGATTTTCAGATAATTAAATCTAAATTTTTGTTGAGAAATAATACGAATTTAGACTTTATCGTAATAGACACTCAATAAGACATTCCGCTCAAAACACACTCAAAGACTATCACTAAATCAACTAATATTGTATCTAACGGTAAAAAGAAAGTTCCAGAAGTCGACAGGCAAACTCCAGGAGTTATAAGAAGAAACGAAATATATTACACAAATTGCGGACCAGGTGGCCGAGTGGTTAGCGTGTCTGACTGCGGAGCCATTGGCCACGGGTTCGAATCCTGCTCAGGGCATGGATGCTTGTTTCTCTCTCTGTGTTCTATGGCTTTTCTCCTTTGTGTGAATGCGACCCGCCCTATAAACGAGTTTGTGGTTGAGTGACGTGGGCGACGCTGCTCCACCGCCGTGACTTCGCCACAGCTGCCCACTGGGTAACGAGAAGGGAGTAGCAGTTCTGGCATTTCTGTGGCTAATGGGACGAACCCCAAGTGCGCGCTATTAAAAAAAAGTATATATATATTACACAAAATAGCAAACTAAAAAGAGATTTATTTTCAATGCTGCATCCTTCCACAATGACGTAAAAAAGAGTCTTGGGGTAACTCGGAGACCCTGGAAGAGCTTTTTATATCTCCTCTAGATACAAAACGAGCCTGAATGCTCTTTTCGTGATTATGTTATATGACAATTCTTCCTCTTATTGATGTCTTTCATCAGCCGATCACCGTGGTCTACTGGTCACTGTACTGGACTAAGGGGCCAGTGAGTGTTAGTTCGAATCCCCCCGTAGACATGAATGTATCTTTCTCTTTCTGTGTGTTCTATATCCTTTCTTCCGTGTAATTGTAACCCACCATATAAACCAGTTTGAAGTTGTATGACGTGGGCGGTCCTACTCCACCGCCGTGAATTAGCCACAGTTGCCCACTGGATAACGATACGGGAGCAGCAATTTTGGCACTTCCGAGGCCAATGAGAAATAGATCCAAGTAACAACCACAAAAAAAAAAGTCTATTTTATCATCCCTCTCTATTTGTCAGTTTTTAGGATACCACGAAGTTAAGTTAAATAGGATCAAGTTCAGTTAAGTAGGATCAAAGTAAATTATTATTGCAAACCTTCCCCTAAAACATTTTTCTGCTACTCTCAACAGTTATATTGAAAATTGTAGAATAAACAAATAGGATTTGGTTATGAAAAATATATAGTTTTAACATACTTACCCATCATAATTACAAAAGGTAATTGAAGGTAATTCTGTTAGGTTGCTGTTAGTTAAATGTATATCAACAACAGTTTCGTACTTCCAATAAAGTCGCAGGAATTCAGAGGATTGATAAAGGTATCCTACTATACAAGACAGAAAGACCAATGTAAGAACGCATTTCTTGACTTTACTCTCAGCCAGAAGAATTTGCGGAACGCCACTCAGCATCGAATCCCGAAAAACATTCGTCAAATAATTGGACCAAAATTTGGGTTTTTTCTTATTAACATTCCTGAAAGGAAATGAAATTAAAATACATGACTGCTACAACAAAAAGTATAAAGATCAAAAATATTATGAAAACAAAGTACCAAAAAGTGCAACAAATAATATTTTGCATAACGAGAGATAGCGTTATAAAATGTCAGATATTTAATTTGTTTTGTGTGCGTATTGACGTTAAGAGTGTTAATGGCCATGTAAATGTATAGTTTTATAATCATTTCAAAAAATGAGCTGAAACACTATTAGCACATTAGAGAATATAAATTCAATAGTAAAGAGATGAGGAAAAAGCAATTGCAGTCGAAAAATGCAAAGTAAATACTAAAAACATCAAAATCCTTCATATCTGTTTTATAGAACAATAACAAATTACCGTTCATTAGTTTCGTCATTAAATATACTGGTCTTAGATTGTTAAAATCTTTGATCTTTTTAATGGCCTCTAGCAGTGACAAAGTTTGAAAATATTTTATTTTCTCAGACATACGTTATCTGGTGATTCATTATGTTCATAGTTTCACTGATTTCGTGCTTACAGGAATGTTTGAAAACATATGTTAAGATTCTCATTATGAAGTATTGTTGTTTCATGATAAACTGGAGGATGTCAAATAAAACAATATTGCAATGAAACATCCTTCTTTAATAGAAAACGTTAACAATCCTTCAAGAAACAAACTCCAGAAAACAGGTTATTCGTTAAAACCATTCAAAAGTTGTTATTAAAACAATTAAAATTTAAATTGTAGAATGCAAGCATCTCCTACTGCAGGTGGGCGTCACCAGGGAAAACGAAGTATAGGGATGAGGTCTCAGACGCTGCAACGACCTCGATACTGATATAATCTATTTTTACGAAGTTCATAGCCCGAAGTGCTATCTACTTCTCCATCGAAGATAAGAGTCAATAAGGGAAGAGTGGGGTTGGATATTTCGGTAGATATTTGAAGCAGGCAACTGAAACTGGGAGTTGAGAGTCTTTGTTGTAAATGTGATCATCAGACCTTTGGGGATTTACCCCGGAGAATGGAGGTCAGAAGCGAAATCACCTCTTCTTTCTTTAAGAGCTCCTGCAGCTCTTTGATGATGTTGACAAGCCTAATTGATGTTGATGCTGGGGAGTCTTTTCTATGTTGTTGGAATCTTTTCCGGGGGTGGGCCTCGCACCCCGAAAAATTTGCAGTGTGTTCTTTGTTGCAACATCTAGGTGGAGTAGATCTTTCATTGCGGCATTCCAATGAGAAGTGGCTTTCGCCGAGCATGCACTTTGTGCATGGCCGTAGGCCTGACATCGGAAGCATTGGAGTGGACTTCTGCCGCCGCGGAATCTCTCTATTTTGACCGGAAACCGATTGTGTTCGATGTGGAAAACTTGATGCTGATTGGTTGCCTCCATAACCATCACTAGGAAAAGTGGGAGGAGCCTACAAGCCTCGCCCTCTCGCTCCTTGAACTGGATAATCCTTGAACTGGATAATGAATCTTAAGGATATCGATGCTTAATTTCTCTATTTCTAAAGAAATTTTACTGGATTCGAAGTTCACTGGGAGTCCACGAATGAGGAACTTTCTATTTCTCTTGATTTCTGGTTTTGTTAAACTCAAATTCTTTTTCAAAATCTTTGAGATTTAGGAGCTGATCTTCAGATAAGGTAAAACAATTGAAATGCTGTTAAAGTTCGATTCGGAAAGCTTAGTGGATTGCGAGAAATGATTTAATTTGAAGAATTTAATTTGAGATTTAGACACTGGAGAAGGTTTTTTGTTTACAGGACTGAGACAATAGCATATCAATTACTGTTCTTTTATTTGTACTTTATTAGAGCTGTTTTTTACTTTAGTCTAAATTGAACAATGTAGTAACATTTTCGTTGCCGAATTTAACATCTGTTTAAAATCGTCGAAGTCTTACTTGTTCCTTTTTTGGAGATTTATTCTGCGCACTCGAGTCTTTTTAACATGAAAGTTTCGAAAAGGAAATTTCAGCAAATCGAACGCTGTACTCAGGAAATCAAAAACTGCAACTAGAGATATGCCCAGCCACATTCCGACATAACCTCCGATATTACCAAAATGTTCAATGCTCTAAAATAAAATAAAGAAGTTAAACACAACTATGGATAATTATACTTTCATAACGAATCAATTGTTATAAAATTTTACTTTTTAAGAAATGTTGATCATATTTTTAAAAAAAATATTCTAATTATAATCTTGAAAAATAATAATTTTTAAAAACTGTCGGATAAAAAGTTATAGAGACAAATTCAAAGACGATTGATTCAGCAGCACAGAAATATGTATTTATCGATGTACTATCCAATATCGATGTAATATTCAATATACTAACAATGATAATATTTAAAATTAGACTTACACTGTAACTTCACTTACATTATAAATTGTTTTAAAAAAATGAACCAAAGATTAAATTTTTTATTTATTTTTTACTTTATTCTACATTGCATTGCATTGCATCGTATTACATTTCATTGTATTGTACAGTAATTATTGTATTGAATGAAAAATGTCAAACAGGAACTGTTATACTTTCAAGAAAGGACGAGTGTATTCCTACAAGACTACAGTATCAATAAAATGTTATTTATACATGCTTTTAAAACATGTATTAAAAACATGTTTTCAATACATCAATTTATAAAATACGGGAATATTTACTACTTGAAAACCGTAAAAGGAAATTATTTTGCGCTTCACTCGTGACCTTATTTGTGTCAAACATCTTGAACGCAATATTCTCGGCTTTCGAAATGAAATTTGATAAAAATTAAAAATGATCATGAATAAAAAAAACTTACTTCAATTTTAGGACTACAGTTATATGTAGTTATTTCCAAGGTGCTCAAATCAATATAAACTGAAATCATTCCCTCATATCTTTAAAAAAAAATTAAGAGTTTACGGTTATGAAAATGTTAGGTCATATACATTTTTTTATAATCCGAGTGCAAAATGTATCTCTTATTAATAAAGACATTTTAGAACTCTAACCAATTGATATTATTATGGTCAATAAAGGTGCTTTAATTATTGTATCAAGATAAATTTTCTTATTCTATTGGTAGATTTAGTTTTATAATTCCACAATTTTTTAAAGTGCTCTAATTTTGAAAAGCGAGTTGTGCAATACAATTTGGGTGCCATAGCTAGAATCACGAAGAAAAGATCTGGAAAAAAATGCCTCTCATTAACTATTACTTAAATTCAACGTCTGATTCAGCAGGTTAAACCCGTATAATTCGAATGCCCAATCCCTGCCGACCCAATTTTTGGGAGCCTACGACTGCTAATGTTCAACTCCGTAGCCTTGAACCCAATCCAGAAGACAAAAGAACTTCTGGATTAAGCATTGGGAGAAATTTGCCTTCTGGAGAGCTTTTAGATGGAACTAACCCGCATTTGCATTACATGGAGAGGAAAACTACGAAGCAGTCCAAGGTTAGCCTGATGGCAAGGGGACTCTTATCCACGATCTGTCTCCCAATGAGGATATTTTACTTCAGCACTGTGGTCGGTGCAAGCCGGGTGCGGAATTCGTTTCGACAAGTCATCGCAGGGATTCGAACCTGGCAGAGATTGATTAAAGGTTCTGTGACAATAAAAAAGTTAGAAATTTTCATCATATTTTATAGTCTCAGGAATGTTAAATTCGCATAGTTATCTAATATAATAATAGGTCTTTCTTATAAAGTCATTTGTGTATATTTCTTTTAAAGTCCTTTAATTTGGACATGCAATTCATCAATACAATCAATCAATACAATCGAATTGTTTAACAGTCCCGCAGTGGACTGATAGTAAATAAATGGTTCCCAGTAGAACACCGAAGTCAAGCATCACTGGCTGTTGTCAGTAGGAGGGTTTGTGACCACTTTGATAAGCCTGCGTAGGGACCGAGGGTATGTGGCATCGATCTTCGTTAAACTGTTCTATCATAAAGTGCTCGACTTCGCGCTTAAGTCGGCGGTCTACCAAAGCAAGAGAGCCATCCCCTCTGCAGAGGATCAAAATTGCGATGGTATGTTTTTGGATCATCCTCAGGGATGCTTCCTAGGCCGTCGCCAATAGCCCATTGTGTAGATCTAGTGATGCGTAAATAAATGTACCAAAGTACCAATTTTGAACGATTTTTTAGGTTTGCATGTAAAAATTATTGCTTGAACATAACATAATTTGGGAACATAACATGAACCATAAATTATTAACTGTTGATAAAACAAAACAGTGGGTGATAAAAAAAATCCTTCTCCAATTTACAGTAAGATAGGTGATCTTTAACATTAGGCATCGGCTAAGGTGTTAAATTTAGTCGACGTTCTCCGCCATAGAAGCTACCGTTTAGGAATCGATGCTAAATACCAATTTATTGCCATTTGTAATGAGAAAGTGAAAGTTTTATGATAAATTTAAAACCACGTAGAAAAAAAAAAACAATTTTAACACTGTATAGATGAAGACAATTAATTATATTCATTTCAATTTATCAAGTTTACGCAAATTGTTTCATATTGACCGAGATTTTTAAATATTTTTTACAAATCATGTCAAAAGTGGAATTTGAAAAATATGCATAATTGGGTTCAGGAAAATGTTCTATAACCTGACGAATCATTAAAGACATCAGGACAAATTCTGTTGTCGGGTTATTCATAATGATTAGAAAATATGTCTGTTTATCAGCAATTTTGTTATAATATGTTACCCGTAGTTTTAATGTATTTGACAAGGTTAAGAAAACATTTAATAAAAGCGGTGATTACGGATGCGCTTGTAAGATTAGCAATAAGTGGGATCTATGAATATGAAATATTATGGAATTTTCTTACGGATCGTTATTTTTATCAACGCTGCATTCTCCCTGAAAAAAAAAGAAATACAAATCAGTGGCAAGAATAATCTCTCTAAAGAAATTGTTTTTTAAATGGTTTAAAGAAAATCAAAAGCATAAATATAATGTAATCTTGTACAGTTCCTTGCCAAATTATTATATGCACTATAATATTCCATGTTAAATCTTAAATATCAGGGCTGAAACCGTTTTGTACTTGCTTATGTTCGTGTATCAATTAGTTAATATTGTAATGCATTACGTTAGATATAAATAAAAATAGGAAGTATATAAAGAATCTCTTGAATAAAAACCCATCACATGTTTGTTTAAANTAAAACAATTGAAATGCTGTTAAAGTTCGATTCGGAAAGCTTAGTGGATTGCGAGAAATGATTTAATTTGAAGAATTTAATTTGAGATTTAGACACTGGAGAAGGTTTTTTGTTTACAGGACTGAGACAATAGCATATCAATTACTGTTCTTTTATTTGTACTTTATTAGAGCTGTTTTTTACTTTAGTCTAAATTGAACAATGTAGTAACATTTTCGTTGCCGAATTTAACATCTGTTTAAAATCGTCGAAGTCTTACTTGTTCCTTTTTTGGAGATTTATTCTGCGCACTCGAGTCTTTTTAACATGAAAGTTTCGAAAAGGAAATTTCAGCAAATCGAACGCTGTACTCAGGAAATCAAAAACTGCAACTAGAGATATGCCCAGCCACATTCCGACATAACCTCCGATATTACCAAAATGTTCAATGCTCTAAAATAAAATAAAGAAGTTAAACACAACTATGGATAATTATACTTTCATAACGAATCAATTGTTATAAAATTTTACTTTTTAAGAAATGTTGATCATATTTTTAAAAAAAATATTCTAATTATAATCTTGAAAAATAATAATTTTTAAAAACTGTCGGATAAAAAGTTATAGAGACAAATTCAAAGACGATTGATTCAGCAGCACAGAAATATGTATTTATCGATGTACTATCCAATATCGATGTAATATTCAATATACTAACAATGATAATATTTAAAATTAGACTTACACTGTAACTTCACTTACATTATAAATTGTTTTAAAAAAATGAACCAAAGATTAAATTTTTTATTTATTTTTTACTTTATTCTACATTGCATTGCATTGCATCGTATTACATTTCATTGTATTGTACAGTAATTATTGTATTGAATGAAAAATGTCAAACAGGAACTGTTATACTTTCAAGAAAGGACGAGTGTATTCCTACAAGACTACAGTATCAATAAAATGTTATTTATACATGCTTTTAAAACATGTATTAAAAACATGTTTTCAATACATCAATTTATAAAATACGGGAATATTTACTACTTGAAAACCGTAAAAGGAAATTATTTTGCGCTTCACTCGTGACCTTATTTGTGTCAAACATCTTGAACGCAATATTCTCGGCTTTCGAAATGAAATTTGATAAAAATTAAAAATGATCATGAATAAAAAAAACTTACTTCAATTTTAGGACTACAGTTATATGTAGTTATTTCCAAGGTGCTCAAATCAATATAAACTGAAATCATTCCCTCATATCTTTAAAAAAAAATTAAGAGTTTACGGTTATGAAAATGTTAGGTCATATACATTTTTTTATAATCCGAGTGCAAAATGTATCTCTTATTAATAAAGACATTTTAGAACTCTAACCAATTGATATTATTATGGTCAATAAAGGTGCTTTAATTATTGTATCAAGATAAATATTCTTATTCTATTCATGATATGCATTGGTAGATTTAGTTTTATAATTCCACAATTTTTTAAAGTGCTCTAATTTTGAAAAGCGAGTTGTGCAATACAATTTGGGTGTCATAGCTAGAATCACGAAGAAAAGAACTGGAAAATTCTCATTAATTATTACTTAAATTCAACGTCTGATTCAGCAGGTTAAACCCGTATAATTCGAATGCCTAATTCAATGATCTTAAAAGATTAATTTATGTACGTTTTTTTTAAAAGTTAAATTAAAGGAAATTTCCATACATCATGTATTTTTGAATTCAAACATATGATAGTATTATTAAAAATATTGTATTAATTAAATCGATTAACACTAATCTCTCAGAAACTTTACCCTTTAGCATAAATTAAAAATTTTAAAAAATATGATAAAATATCCCAATTTAATGTTGTTTCTTTTAACAAAAACCAGGTTGAAAAATTATTATTTGTATAATTATTATTATATCGCAATACAAATATGTGTTATTATTGAAATTTAGAACAATATTCGAATCACTTAAGAGTTCCAATTCTTTTGTCAAATAGTATCAAGTGAAAGTTTTTCGGTAAGCCTTATTAATTTAATCCTTAATTAATATCATCTATAGCAAAGGTCACCATGTAATATTTACTTATTATCTTTCAAGCCTGTGGGTTGCGTTATTCAATAGTGATATCCTGTCCGTTAAAATTTTAATGATTTTCCAAATTTTTCCTTTTTTATATATTTATTAAACAGAACAATCGGAACACTAAACATAAACACAAATAAACATAAAATTTTTCTAATTGTCCATTGTACATTCAAATCGGATTTTTCCGATTCCACGAGATGTTCATCCCGCCATTTTAAGATTCATTCTGATTGAATTCTCCCTCGGTTAGGGAAGACGCCTAGTAAAAATCCCTTTTGTGGGGATTTAACCTTATTCGTGGCTTGAGTTGCCACACCCCAACCCTATGCCCGCCGGCACCATGGCGCCCGTCGATCGATCTAGGTGCGCCCGCTGCCTGTACCCGACGATAAAATATTTCAGTTTTCCATTCTCGCAATAAATGTTATGCAAATCTTATGCTATGCAGATACATAATGAGGTACGCTGGCTCAGTAAAGGTAAAGTACTTGAGAGGTTTCAACATTTAATTGGAGAAATAAAAAATTACCTTGTAGCCAAAAATCAAACATTTTTAGAACAAAGAGATCCTCTTTGACTAGCAGATTTGTCTTTCATAACGGACATAATGGAAAAACTAAATAATTTGAACTTGGAGCTGCAGGGCTTTCCCTGTATTATTCCTAAATTATTTTTTAAAAAAAAATTTTTGTGCACTATATGTCGTGTTTATTATTACCTACCAACTATACATTTACTTGCCTACCAACTATACATTTATCTTAAAAAAATAAATGGTGCCCGCCATTCGACCGATATTCTGGTATTTGCTCTTAGGTACAAAAAGGTTGGGGACCCCTGATCTATAGCATCGACTCTGTTAAATTAATTATTCTCACTATTTTTAATTAAAAATAAATTCTGGAGAGAGCTGCGAATTGATACTAACTATAAATGAAGCTCTTCCTTCGAAGATTTAAAAGTTAATAGTAGAGATTTTTAATATAATTGTGTCCTTGACTGTTAAGTTAAAATTTACAAATTTTATATCTTTTTATTTTATAACCGTCGCTAAGCAGCCGACCCAATTTTTGGGAGCTTACGACTACTAATGTTCAACTCCGTAGCCTTGAACCCAATCCAGAAGACAAAAGAACTTCTGGATTAAGCATTAGGAGAAATTTGCCTTCTGGAGAGCTTTTTGATGGAACTAACCCGCATTTGCGTTACATGGAGAGGAAAACTACTAAGCAGTACAAGGTTAGCCTGATGGCAAGGGGACTCTTATCCACGATCTGTCTCCCAATGAGGATATTTTACTTCAACACTGTGGTCGGTGCAAGCCGGGTGCGGAATTCGTTTCGACAAGTCATCGTAGGGATTCGAACCTGGTTCACCTCATTGAAAGGTGAACTTTCTATCCCCTGAGCTATCACGGCTCAAATTTTATAGAATGGCAGAGATCGATTAAAGGTTCTGTGACAATAAAAAAGTTAGAAATTTTTCATCATATTTTATTGTCTCAGGAATGTTAAATTCGCATAGTTATCTAATATAATAATATGACTTTCTTATAAAGTCATTTGTGTATAATTCTTTTAAAGTCCTTTAATTTGGACATACAATTCAAGCAATAATTTTTACATACAAACCTAAAAAATCGTTCAAAATTGGTACTTTGGTACATTTATTTACGCATCACTAGATCTACACAATGGGCTATTGGCGACGGCCTGAGAAGTATCCCTGAGGATCATCCAAAGACATACCATCGCAATTTTGATCCTCTGCAGAGGGGATGGCTCTCTTGCTTTGGTAGACCGACGACTAAAGCGCGAAGTCGAGCACTTTATGGTAGAACAGTTTAACGAAGATCGATGCCACATACCCTCGGTCCCTACGCAGGCTTATCAAAGTGATCACAAGCCCTCTTACTGACAACAGCCAGTCATGCTTGACTTCGGTGTTCTACTGGGAACCATTTATTTACTATCAGTCCACTGCGGGACTGCTCAAAAATTCGATACAAATTTTTTTCAAAGGAATTACTCACTGTTAAAATATGAACTGCAGTACTTTATTTCTTTCATTACTTCAAAATGTTACAACAGTGATGTTTACAGGTCTAATTAATCATGAAAAGTTTACTAAACGTTCTCTTAATAATTAATACTCTTAATACATTTTAGCAGGTAAGCATAAGTAAAATCAACACGGGCGGAGGCACCACGAAGTATTTTGCAAGGTATCTGAAATCGCACATACATATTTTGTTTTGTGCTTTTGAAACGTGTTTCTATACTACGATGAGTTATAAACCTAAAGACTGAATATAGCTTATCTTTATCTTAATAAGTTGAACATATAAGAAAGTGTTTTTTTATTAATCCGTAATATAAAGTCATCCGGAAGATAGAACAAATCAGAGTAAAAAAATTAGAAATTATTTTAAGCTGTTTGAATAGTTTTGGTAGATGCTTTTCCATTTTGTGCACTGTTGTTTAGAGAGAGTGCTGATTAAAAAATATTCCTTCCAGCAACCCGTGCAAAGATCGGTAATAATGCGTGGTAAAATGCAATAAAAAGAAAGTAAAAGTTTTATGATAAATTTAAAACCATGTAGGAAAAAAAAAAACAATTTTAACACTGTATAGATGAAGACAATTAATTATATTCATTTCAATTTATCAAGTTTACGCAAATTGTTTCATATTGACCGAGATTTTTAAATATTTTTTACAAATCATGTCAAAAGTGGAATTTGAAAAATATGCATAATTGGGTTCAGGAAAATGTTCTATAACCTGACGAATCATTAAAGACATCAGGACAAATTCTGTTGTCGGGTTATTCATAATGATTAGAAAATATGTCTGTTTATCAGCAATTTTGTTATAATATGTTACCCGTAGTTTTAATGTATTTGACAAGGTTAAGAAAACATTTAATAAAAGCGGTGATTACGGATGCGCTTGTAAGATTAGCAATAAGTGGGATCTATGAATATGAAATATTATGGAATTTTCTTACGGATCGTTATTTTTATCAACGCTGCATTCTCCCTGAAAAAAAAAGAAATACAAATCAGTGGCAAGAATAATCTCTCTAAAGAAATTGTTTTTTAAATGGTTTAAAGAAAATCAAAAGCATAAATATAATGTAATCTTGTACAGTTCCTTGCCAAATTATTATATGCACTATAATACTCCATGTTAAATCTTAAATATCAGGAGATATTGTACAGCTTTATTGTTATTGTGGCTGAAACCGTTTTGTACTTGCTTTATGTTCGTGTATCAATTAGTTAATATTGTAATGCATTACGTTAGATATAAATAAAGATAGGAAGTATATAAAGAGTCTCTTGAATAAAAACCCATTACA